GTTACAAACCTTTTATAGACGATCAAGGTCTTCCCTTCACACACCAGAGTCACAACACATAATCTTACTCTGTCATCACCAGGGCTGCGTTCAGTTGGGCAATACGTGCTCATAGCATGCGCTCGGCTGATGAACGTGACAATACCGTATTTTCCTCACGCCGCCCAAGCCGAGCCATAGCTAAAGGTGGATCACTTCGTAGCGCGGGTTATTTACAAATAAAAAAGGCGGCGGCAGCCACAAGCGCCTATTTGTGATCGTTACTAAATCACTTAAATAAGATTGTCGTAGATTAAAGCAATTTACGTAGAAACCTACTAACTGTGGGTGTTCGTACACGACCGAAAATACCACGATGTTGGTGTACAGCGGTATCGTACAATATCTATCACCACTGCTTGGCTCGGACACACGTGAGAAGGGTGTTATCCAATGTGACTACCAAACCCCACAGGTTTCCTCCTGTACTAGCACTTGTTCATAGCAATGTAACAAAGTACAAACCAACTGCCCGAATGGCTAGTCAGCTGATAAATGGTGAAATGAAAAATAGTAATAAAAAATAACTAATCAGTTGGGAAAGAAGCTATTCAACAAATTATATTCAGCAACTTAGGTTGAAGCAATTGATGATTTATTAATTTTATTGACCAATCAATGGGAGAATGGAACACCAGCAGTTATGTAACAGGTCGGCCTTCTTTGTTTATGATACCATAATTCAGCTGACCAACAGTTCAGTATGCCCTCCAGTAGCTTCCAGTATTTCCAAACTGAATGCAATCCAAGTTACGAGGAAAACTCTACCACTGTACAGTATGCGTCATATATATAAATTACCGAAGCTTACCCAACAATTCCTGTCAAGAAATGAAAAAAATAAAGGATAAACTACATTAGAACTAGAGTTTATGGCTAACACTTACCTTGGCTGAGGTATGAGAAGCCAAGCGTGGTAGACGTTACTGAACTTCAACAACCAAGGTGTTTAAGCTTGTGACAAGGTTTATAATTTCACTAAAGTCTGTCAACTATCATTCCATCACGTCCGTCTATTATCTTCCATTTCCGTCCACATTTTCAATTAAACTGAATTTTTGTCCGTTATTTTAATTGAAACCTTACTTAGAATTAATATTAAACGAGAAAACACCAAAACACGATTCACTTTAGCAGTAAGTTGGTGACTGACATTTACCACACCAGAAGTACGCGGAGTGATACAGCTCTTGTTGCTCATGTATTCTGCCGACCAAAAAACTTGTTACTTTTGATTTTGTGACTTTCTGGATCAGTGAAGCCTTTTTGTGGCCGTTTATTATTATTATTATTATTATTATTATTAGTATTATTATTATTATTATTAGTATTACTATTAGTATTAGTATCATTATTAGTAGTAGTAGTAGTATATTTAATATGAAGGTAATAAAATGGCGGCGAATGTGTGGCTATTGGGGGAGGCTGGAGGCCACGTTTAAAAAAAAAAGTAGTTATTATTACTACCGGCTTTCACCACTTACCAGCTTCCTCGCTGGTTGCCAGCAACCAGGTCGTATTATACTGTATATGACTCGTATAAACAAAAGCAGTAGATAACACAAGTGTCGTCGAATTACTACTAGCTATCCCACCATTCTCCGGTAATTTCCCGACGATCGGTAATCGGTATCAACATACAAACACAGGTAGATTTCAACCAGGTCACAGAAACGCACTTGTGAACTGTAGGGTGTGTTCTTACAGCGGGACTTCTTGCTTCGAAAATTATCATCACACTAGCGTGCAATGCCTTACGTCCGTATTATTAAACATCTTCCTTTGAAGAAGGTCGTCGTGTTTCAACCTAAGTTTTAAACTACACGAGTCCTGAGGGACACCGCAGTACAGTACTTAACGGGGTGGTGTGGCGGTAAGATTAACTAATTTCAATATTATAAATTAATTTTCACTTTATATCGCTCAATAATTCCACAATACCTGCACAACAATTATCTTCAGTTGTCACTAGGCTTGTACTTCACACAATGTGCAGAAACAATTGACTCTTTCCTCGGCAGCTCACTGCCGCTTATATACGTCTCGTCAGACGCCTAGAACATTCTACATGAATCTAGCTACATCTAGGCGCTGCTAGTCGGAACAAGATATGCCTGGAGAGCTCTCTAATGATGTAGGTTTACAATACATAAGCAAATCATAAAAAAAATTGATGCAATACCTTCTAGAAAATTCTTAAGTAATACATCAACATGTACAAGAGAATTTCCCCTAAACTTGCTAAAATAACTACTGCTTGGAATAGAAAATAATCAAACGCCTAGTTCAAAAATTTATAATATTAAATTATGCCTTGGGATAACAGTAATATACTGTCCAGTACTCGAATTATTATTATTATAGGCGTTAATGTGTTAGGGCTGCGACGGCCGAGCAGACAGACAAACAGTAGTTGAGCGTCAGTGATACCGATATTGAAACAGTATAGTCAACCAGAAAAATTCAGATACGAAGTGAACAATAACAACAATAATATTGACCTGGTTAAGCCCTCATAGCATCAACATCATCATAATCATCATCAACAACATTATCAACATCGTCACCATCATCGTCACTATCATCATAACCAATCATTATCTGGAATTCTAAACGCATTACGCTGTCATAAACAGAACGATACTCAATTGTCATATATCATAGTGCTGCGTGTGTAAATATTTAACAGTAGTGTACAACTCTCTAAAAACACAAGTGAAGGACAAATACATTATTAGCGTTGACTTGTTGATGTAGCACTTAGCGAGTTGGTGGCTGACTGACATTCCCAGCTGCTTATAGACTCAGGGAGAAGTGTGTGTCGACTGTAAGACACTCCACATAGACTCAGGGAGAAGTGTGTGTTGACTGTAAGACACTCCACATAGACTCAGGGAGAAGTGTGTGTTGACTGTAAGACACTCCACATAGACTCAGGGAGAAGTGTGTGGTCGACTGTAAGACACTCCACATAGACTCAGAGTGTGTGGTCGACTGTAAGACACTCCACATAGACTCAGGAGAAGTGTGTGTTGACTGTAAGACACTCCACATAGACTCAGGGAGAAGTGTGTGGTCGACTGTAAACCTCCACATAGACTCAGGGAGGTGTGTGGTCGACTGTAAGACACTCCACATGGACTCAGGGAGAGGTGTGGTCGACTGTGAACACTCACATAGACTCAGGAAGTGTGTGTTGACTGTAAGACACTCCCATAGACTCAGAGAAGTGTGTTGACTGTAAGACACTCCACATAGACTCAGGGAGGAGTGTGTGTTGACTGTAAGACACTCCACATAGACTCAGGGAGGTGTGTGGTCGACTGTGAGACCTCCACATAGACTCAGGGAGAAGTGTGTGTTGACTGTAAGACACTCCACATAGACTCAGGGAGAAGTGTGTGTGTTGACTGTAAGACACTCACATAGACTCAGGGAGAAGTGTGTGTTGACTGTAAGACACTCCACATAGACTCAGGAGAAGTGTGTGTTGACTGTAAGACACTCCCACATAGACTCAGGGAGAGAGTGTGTGGTCGACTTAAGACACCCACACAGACTCAGGGAGAAGTGTGTGTTGACTGTAAGACACTCCACATAGACTCAGGGAGAAGTGTGTGGTCGACTGTAAGACACTCCACATAGACTCAGGGAGAAGTGTGTGTTGACTGTAAGACACTCCACATAGACTCAGGGAGAAGTGTGTGTTGACTGTAAGACACTCCACATAGACTCAGGGAGAAGTGTGTGTTGACTGTAAGACACTCCACATAGACTCAGGGAGAAGTGTGTGTTGACTGTACGGTCCTCTAATGGAGGTTTTTTTCCCTTTTTTTGTCATTATTTGTGTAGGGAGGGGATGAGTCAGAGTGGGTGGGTTAGGGGAAGTAGTGGGTGAGTTAGTACCTTTGGGTAATTGTGGGGTACCTGTAATGGAGTACCTGTAGGGGGGGGGGAGTGTGGGGTACCCGTGGGGGCTATGAAGGTGAACAGGAGGGTTGTCACCATCAGTTGTCAAGAGCAGTGATCGTCAGGTGGTGGATGGAGGGGTCGTGTAAATAATCAGTGTTCTCCAGGTAATGTGGTTAACAAGTCGTCGATAAAAGCCTGTATGTATAAATTATCACCTGACATTTGGGGGTTTGAAAGTCTTCACCTGGGCTCACCTTAAGATTCTAGCGAGCGAGAGAGACATACAGGCAGTATTTTTAAAGGTGGAGTTCAATTTCCTATACTCCAACAGGTGGAGGAGGGCTTCACCGCAGGGACAAAATATTTTATAGCTACTAAGGTGTAAATTGGTGTTGTGACGTCGTTAAAAGACTCCAGTAGTCGATAATAACACAAACAAGGGCGAGCTAAGGAGGGAGTTATGAGCTTGACTACTGTACACATTACCTGTGACGGAACCCCTCATACCAGCGGGCAGGTACAACTCTCACATAATAATAACAGCAACTATGCTAATGGTAATAATGATGTAAATAAATAAGGCGAATATCACTGTGAAATGAAACTGACAAGATTTTTTTCATCTTACACAGTATACGGTGCGGTGCGGTGCATATAATATGGTGTACATAAAACAAAGGACGCATGAATAATTATATATACACACACACACACATACACATACACCTACACACATACTCATACACACACACACATACACACACACACATACATACACATATATACACTTACACACATGCGCACAAATACATACATATACACGTAAATATACATACACATATGTGCACACATGTACACACAAGTTAGAGAAAAATAAGTATTTTTGAACCTTTGATATGACCCAATAAAGATGCCAGAGATCAGGGTAACACTCCTGGGTAAAGGCATTTGTGTACATTGGTTGCCTGGGATACGACAATAAACATTGCCTTGCCTGCTTCAACTCGGGGTTACCGGTGAAGGTCGGCAGTACTAGCAAACACCATCGTGGTACTGGCGCTACTCCCGCACTACCACCACTGCTACTACCATCACTGGCACTGGTGCCCCAACTACCATCGTGTTCAAGGAGTTCAGTCATCTTGTTCAAAAGGTCAACACCACCTCACGTGTGTTGCTTTACTTCCCAGAGATAAAAGGGAAAAGATTTAAGTTACCATGAAGAAGCGACACTGGCGACTAGACACAACGCTGTTACCTGTCCTGTTGTCTGCTCTCACCATACCTGGGCTCCATACCTGGTGTGATGCAGGTCAGTTGGTTACTGTACAGTATGTTGCCTTTCATGTTTGTGGCTAATTATTATTTTATTATTATTATTATTATTATCATCAGTTTTTAATATTATGATGTTATTATTTATTATTTGTTATTGTCGTCATCGTCATTGTTTCTATTATCATTATTGTTGTTTTTGTTGTTGTGCTATTATTATTATTTATTTTATTATTATTATTATTATTATTATATATATATATATATATATATATATATATATATATATATATATATATATATATATATATATATATATATATATATATATATATATATATGCGCTGATAACCACAAGGAAAGAAGAAAACACGAAGTTCCCAAGCGCTTTCGTGTAATTCACATCTTCAGGGGTGAGTACAGACTAAAGAAAACTTTTTATAGAACTGATCCCAAGCCCACCCATGACCATAAGAATATCTTAATATTACCATTTCACAAAAATTTCTCACACATTCCTGCACAGCTAAAAACCTGGAACGTCAATGTGGCATTTAAAAACTCATGCACTGTTAAACAAATGTTAATCAAGAACTCCCCCAACAACACAATTGGTTGCATTTATAAAGTTCCTTGCAAGGAATGTAATATGTTTTACTTAGGCCAGACAGGTAAAGATCTTGTAACTAGACTTAAACAACATAAATATAGTGTTAGGACAGGCCAGGAATCCTATGCTCTGTTTGTTCATTTGAGGGATAACAAGCATTGCATTGACTGGGATAATGCCTCCTCAATATTACCTTGTAATTCAATTGATAGCATAGGAACATCACGAAAGCGCTTGGGAACTTCGTGTTTTCTTCTTTCCTTGTGGTTATCAGCATATACCTAGATCACGCGCACCTACAGTGATTTACTTGTGTGTGTGTATATATATATATATATATATATATATATATATATATATATATATATATATATATATATATATATATATATATATATCGAAAAGTGTTCGCCGCCTGTTCCAGAGATCAGTGGTTCGATTCCCTGTTACTCTCGGTTCACCCAGCTGAAAATGGGTACCGAAGGCTTAGTATACAGTGTGCTGTATTAACACTACCCTAATGGGCAGTCTTGCCTATGGGACCCACCTTCACTTTTTTACATTAGTCGTATTAGTTTTTCATTCTTGCCGTTTTACTACCCAACACCACCACCAGTCGCCCCAGAGGACCAACTAGCGGTGGAGCTCAACGTGGCAAGGCGACAAGCAAGGGGCACTGAGTGGCTCCAGTATGACCTGAACCGAAATGACCTGGGCCAGTCTTCCACATTTACGGTCTGCCTCCACATCTACCTTCAGTTTACCTATACTGACCCTTGTATCGCCCTCACTTTCGACCCCAACACCTTCGTCATCAGTAAGTACAAATTTGACCTTCCTCCGTCACCAGTCAGTGTCGGGTTGATGGACTGACTGACAGGTTGTTGGATACAACTTCAACATCTAATGAACACACACAGACACCGTGCTAACCTCTCGCACAGACACGCCCACAAAATAGTATCCGTTATTGCGAAACCCTGAAATGACCTCATATTAAAACAGTCACGAGAACGTGTGTTAAAGACTGTGTCTCACTCCATAACATCTCCTCAGTTAAAGATGGTAAGCTTCAATTAGAAAAGAACCTACCTGACAAGGGATGGACGGTGGTCAGCTGGGCGCCTCTGAACTACCACTACTGGACGCCTGTGTGTGTAGCGGTGGGTCGTGAACCTGGCCTCGCCCTCCACGGAGAGTACACAAACCAAGGTCCTCATACCCCCATGGAGCTCCCTCAGGTAAAGGTTTGTTTTCTTGTGTGTGTGTGTGTTTACCTTACCAAGAACACTGGTGATGCATGCTAGATTATACTATAAAACGCAATTGCTTGGTTATTGTCTTTATACCTGTCTACGGAACCTATTGTACATTCTTTAAATACTACTAACCTCTAATAACAGCTAACATAACCTAACCTAAAACCTGGTACAGTATGTGTGTTTCCTTCACCGCCAGGGAAAGACCATACGCATCACGGTGGGTATTCCCCTTCAAGACGCCAACATAGACCAGACCACCTCCTTGTCCGCCATCGTCACCGCCCCGACAGTGTACAAATGGCGGCTCTCAGACCAAGAGGTAAGTCTGTTAAGCCACCTCGACACCAGTACAGTGCCACCTCAACACCACCTCCATACCAGTACAATGCCACCTCAATACCACCTCTATACCAGTACAGTGCCACCTCAACACCATCTCCATACCAGTAAAGTACAACCTCCATACCAGTAAAGTACCACCTCTATACCAGTACAGTGCCACCTCAACACCACCTCCATACCAGTACAATGCCACCTCAATACCACCTCTATACCAGTACAGTGCCACCTCAACACCACCTCCATACCAGTAAAGTACCACCTCCATACCAGTAAAGTACCACCTCCATACCAGTAAAGTACCACCTCTATACCAGTACAGTGCCACCTCAACACCACTTCCTTTCCAGTACAGTGACACAATAATAATTTTCACTTGAATTCTAACTGTGATAATATTCAATAATAATTTCATCATTATAAAATTCTGCAGTGCAATTCGTCATAAGCTAATAAATGGTCCTCACCCCTTTCATTCACCCTTCCCACCCTCACTCTTCTGTCTCGTCCTTCCCTCACCCTCCCCCTCACTCTTCTGTCTCTTCTGTCTCGTCCCCCTCACCCTCACCCTCTCCCCTCCCCTCACTCACCCTCCCCCCTCACTCACCCTCCCCCTCCTCACCCCTCCCCTCACCCCTCCCCCCCCTCACTCACCCCTCTCTCCACCCCCCTCACTCTTCCGTCTCGTCCTTCCCTCACCCCCTCTCACCCCTCCCCCTCCTCACCCCCTCTCTCACCCTTCCCCCTCACTCTTCCGTCTCGTCCTTCCTCGCCCCTCTCACCCTTCTCCCCTTATTTCTGGTCAGGTCCTGGACGTGGCATCATGTCGGGAAGACCTACAGGACCGCGTGTGGTATCTGTGGTCAGGCAGGATCTTAGACTCCTTGTTACTCGTCACTAACCGGTCAGCAGTCACCTCGGAATTCGTCAACGATACAACCAAGTGTGTTGACCTGTCGTGGCCTAGAGTGAAAGGTTGTAGGGCCTAGAGTGAAAGGTTGTAGGGCCTACAGTGGAGGGGCTGGCCCTAGAGTGGGGTGGAACCTAGAGTGGGGGGGTTGTAAGGCCTAGGTGGGGGGGTGTGAAACCTGAGTGGGGGCTGTAGCCTAGAGTGGAAGGGGTTGTAGGGCTAGGTGGGGGGGCCTAGAGTGGAGGGTTGTGGGGAACCTAGAGTGGAGGGGGCTGTAGGCCTAGAGTGGGGAGGAGGGGGTTGTAGAGGCCTAGAGTGGGGGAGGGGGTTGTAGGGCCTGGGGTGGAGGTTGTAGGGCCAAGAGTGGGGTAGGGGGTTGTAGGGCCTAGGGTGAGGGAGGGGGTTGTAGGGCCTGGGATGGAGGTTGTAGGGCCAAGAGTGGGGGAGGGGGTTGTTGGGCCTAAAGTAAAGAGAGATAGAGAGAGGGGGAAGCGCGTTTGCTTGTGATTGTGCGTGTGTGTATGCGAGATGTTCTTACTCAGATCCAATTTATCTTTCTCTCTACTACAACAAACTGTACAGTTACTGGAGTCGTATCACCAATCCGTATGACATGTGTGTACCAGCCTCGGGCCATAGACTGGTGCTCCTTCGGGGGACATTCCTGTACGGTGAAGCACTCGGTAACTGTAGCGCCTATGGAGGTACTCTGGCGGAGGGTAGTAAAGACACTTGGATGGCTGCTAGTGAGGTAAACGTTATGACGATTTCTGACAGATTCTTTCATAAATGTTCAAATATTCAACTAAGGAAGACTATAATTGCTGGATTATTGATGTTCAATGTTTTTCTTCAGCCTTTGCAGTTTGCTGCAACTAAAGTTTTGGCGAATCCTTGGGTTACCGCTGGCAGTGTTGACAAGTGCTGGAAGATGGACCTCGCAACGTTCTCCTTAATCCAGGGAAATTGTGACACTGATTATGCATCGTACCTTCTGTGTCAGGTGAGATTATGCTAGTAAACTGTATTCGTCCGTGAAAGAGAGAAAGATAGTGTAAGGGTTCTGGGTACTCGGTTCTAACTACAGGAACGAACACAAACACCTGTAGAGTATTTGACTAGTACAGAGGTGCGCAATCCCAGCGCTGGTAGTCCCTACACTCTATATGGGTCAACTGACTTCTCTCAGGCGACATGTGGTACATTAGCAGCTTCCAGATGTCGCCAGGCACATTATCTAAGCGTGTGGTGACATGAAAAAGGGGCATTGCCACACGCTACTGACTAAATAAGTAATGTATATAAATGGGGTACATACATAGTATACATACAACATACATAATATACATACATTTCCCCACCCCCCCCCCCTCTCTATACGCTCATAGCAAAGTCTTGAGCGGACCTCTTTTGGATCCGTTCTGAGCGTCGAGTGGCTTGATCACTGGGGGGATATGGGACTCCGCACTGGTGGCAGGGTCAGCGGGAAGCGTTATGGGGCGGAGAAAGCGGCGGTTCCTCCACCACACAGTTAATATTCCCAGAAGGGGCCACTTTGAGGATGAGGTGCTTCAGGGATTTGACAGCAGCCTCAGCGTGGCCGTTGGACTGCGGGTAATGGGGCGGTGACAACACATGCCGGACTCCCCATCGGTCAAAGAACGCAACAAAGTCCCGGCTTGTGAACTGGGGCCCTCCGTCGGTTCGCAGGGGCACAGTAACGCCCACGTAACGGAAGTAGTGGCGGAACTTGCTGATGGTGGCGGCAGACGTCGTATCATTGCCGCACTTGATGACAACCGGCCAACCAGAGAGACGGTCGACGATAACCAGGAAGGACTCTCCTGACACACAGAAAAAGTCGGCCGACACAGACTCAAAGGGGCGGGTGGGGTTGTCGTCACCCATGAAGGGTTCCTGCTGCTGGCTGGGTTGTAGAACTTGGCAGGGCTCACATGCACGGACAGCATTTGAAGTGTCGGAGTTGATGCCAGGCCGGAACACAGTCTGACTTGCACGCCGTTTGGTGGCCTCGGCTCCACGGTGACTGTCGTGGAGGCGAGCCAAGACGTGGGGACGTGAAGCAGCAGGGACAACTACCGAAGAAGAGGTGTCACTGGCCAGAGGTAGGGGGCGACAGCAGGGTAGTTGCTGCTCCCTTCGTGCACCCTGTTGACGCATTTTACCTCGAGAATCGGTTTTGGGAAGTCTTGGGAGATGATGGCCAACTCTTGGCAATGTCTGTAGGACAGCAAAGGAGTCGGGACTCCATTATGCACATCAATCCAGGCTTGACCTGTTGCCAAAGGTGACCTGTGCTTGGAGTGAGCTTAGGGCTGGGACCATCTGTGAACCATCGGCCGTGAAGCGGAGGTCCTTGGGAGGCGGTCCTAGATCACTTGGAGAGAGCCCCAAGCATTGCAAATGCTGGGGACCGATGACTGTAGCATCAGCGCCGGTGTCAGGCAGCATCTCGAGACAGGATGACACACTGTCGTAGGTCACGATGACGCTGATGTGCTGGGGAGCTTTGGTCCTGAGACGTGAGGAGTACGCCTTCCTAATATGGCTTGAGCGTTGTCCAGGGTCGTCATGCCTCTGATTTGACGACTGTGGGCGGCCCTCACTGGTGGAAGGGCACTGTTGCTTCCGCCGACGCTGTCCCTTAGGTTTGTTGGTCGGGCAACACTTGTCGTAGTGGCCCAGACGACCACACACATCGCACTGGACGCGTTTGGTTGGGCACCGTACTGTAAGTGATCAGTGGCCCTTGCGGTCACAACTGTTGCAGGTAGACTCAGCCGCTGGACACACCTGTGTTCCGTGCTGCCTACCACAGCTGTTGCAAAGAGAGGTGGGCGTGGTGGGCATAGCCGTTGGGGTAGACTTCTTTTACTTGGACATAGCCCGTACAGCTGTAGGGGGAGCTCGGATGGCAGAGGTGGCACACCTGGCAGCCTCGTAGGAGCGACATATTGTCGACACATCCTTAAGAGAAGAGGAAGAGTCGAGGGAGGTGAGGCATTGGACAAGCTCCTCGTCCTAAACACCCAACAGGATCACCTGCTTCAACTGGGTCTCCTCGCACTGCTGGTGATTACCGGGTCATATGTCTACCTCTTCAGAGGCTCTCTTGAGTCGTACATAGAAAGCATCAAAAGTCTCGCCCTCCGCCTGTCTACAGCTAAGCAATCCCTCCTGCGTAGAGCTTCATTCCGCTGACCTTTGACGTGCCATTCTAGAACATTCAGTACCTCCTCTACAGACAACAAAGAAGTCGGGGGCATCTGCAACTTATGTTCCAACACACGCTGCATTTCCAAAGGCAGGCACATATGTAGATGAATGAGTTGTTTAGGCTGTGGCAAGCTCTGGAGATCCACCATTGGAGCATAATCACTCCACCATCACCGCCGCTCACGAAAAGTCTGGAAAGTCACATCAGGCTCCAAGATGGGTGGGGGTTGGGCAGCCGCTTTCGGTGGGGATGGAGGGCATACAGAAGGCGTTGACGAGGTATCTGAGCCAGTCGATACCGAAGCAGTGGAAGAACCAGGGGCTTGGTTAGCAGTGAGGTTAGATATCAAAGCTGCAAGCCATTCACTATCTTCCAATCTCCTTTGGTGGTCTGTTTGCCTCCTCTTGTCTCCTTTCTTCATCCTCAACACGTCTTCTCACTTCGTTCTCACGCCTTTCCTCCCTCAAACTTCATTAAAGCTATTACCTCTGGAGACAAGGCTGAATATCGAGGTGAAGGACTTGGAGATGTGGTAGGAGAGGGTGGAGCATCGTGCTCTGACTGGTCATCCATATCTGTAGAGCTGTCATCCGTCTGAGGCGTCATCCGGATGTCGACTGCACCACTACGTAAGGAAAGAGGCATAATCACTTAATCTGTATATTGTATCTCAAATCAGTGTTGACTGGTCAGCCCGTCGTATCAGCACGATCTGAGAAAACAAAATTAAACACACATTTAAGTAAATTATATATATAAAATATATATAAGGGAATGACTGCAGTCTGTACTTTCGTTCGTGTGTGTATGAGTGCGCGGTGGTGTGTGTGTGTGGCTGGTGGGGTGTGGAGGCGGGGGCTGTGCAGAGGTGGGGGCGGTGCAGAGGTGGGATGTAGGAGCGCGGAGGGGGGGCTGGGGGGTAAGCGGGCAGTCGAGACTCGCGCTAATTAGTTACCCTCGAGACACAGCCGGGGAAGGATGCACTGACGTACTGCTCCTCACAAATGCCCTGGACCAGCCTTCCACCTTGGGGAATCCCTTAAAACGAAGACACACTTAAGTACTACACACACGAGGCACTTATATCACTTCACAAGAACTTGCGGTCACTGCTCAAAACTCGTTGGTAATTCAATCGAGTTTTTGTGGGTGACAATGCGATTAGGAGCGATTAGGAGCGCGACGGTTGACCGGTTGACGAGCGGAGTGGGGGGTCTACCGGTCTTAACTATACAGAACGGCACTTGTATTTCCAATCAATCAATTCACTGCGCCATGTAGGGGTTCTGGGTACTCAGTTCTAACTACAGGAGCGAACACAAACACCTGTAGAGTATTGTAGGTTCTATTTGACGGAAGTACAGAGGTGTGCAATCCCAGCGCCGGTAGTCCCTACACTCTATATGGGTCAACTGACCCCTCTCTGACCTCTCAGGCGACATGTGGTACATTAGCAGCTTCCAGATGTCGCCAGGCACATTATCTAAGCGTGTGGTGACATGACTAGATAAGTAATGTATATAAATGGGGTACATAAAATATACATACAACATACATAATATACATACAGATAGCTTTATAAATCACTCCTGACCTAGACTTGTGAAACATAAACACCTACAGCAACTTGAGTGTATTTATTAACTGTAGCTGGTTTACGATGACTCTTAACGTTATATACTGGAGTTCATCAAGCCTCACAAAACATAAATCTTCAGAATAGTTGTCTTGTCTAACTCTCTTAAAAGAATTATTTTCCCCAGCTTCCTCTGACGCCCACTGTTGAGTTGCGGTCTGAGGATGACCAGACTGAGAAATTCTTTGTTCTCGCCACCACCTTCTTCTACCCATCATTCTACACTAAAGATGGATTATCGATACAAGGGAACACCACCATATGGCTGAAGTATTATGACCAGTACATGGAGCTCCTCTACTACGCGCAGACTAACGTACTCCAGCCACTGGGTCGTCACACCTGGTCTACTCCCGCCACCAACGAAAACATTAAACGCACTATGACGCTCACCAGCTGTAGCAAGGTATAGAACGCCACCCTGCTCTGTCCTTCATAAATGTGAAAAATCGATAAAACAAAAATACATATATATATACAGGGTGATTCAGCGAACAGTACATTAAATTGGAGGATAAAATCCTTGGATAATTCTAAACCACAATGTGTGTATGGAAAAATGTAAGTTTCTTCAAATGCCCACGTGTTCGTGACAGGTGCGAGCAAATTAAACATAGTCCAGGCATTTTTGAACGCGTCAAACAATCAATGGTACGACGCGTACAGGCCTGTATTGAGGCAGAAGGGGGCAACTTGAATATTTCTTTTAGGTTGTAACAAATAGGAGTCACATTGTAGAGATCTGTGATTAAATGATTACAAGAAACTACTGGGGTTTCACTTCAAATTAACTCTCATTAATACAACATCTTAAATGTATTGTATCATAGAAACTATGCAGACTCTGACATTTTACCATAGAGACATTGTAGTTTAGAATTATCCAAGGATTTCATCGTCGAACATGGGCTGATACACACTCCAAACAACCGAAATCCCAGTGCCGAATGGAGTATTCTCGACAGTCATGACAAAAACCTACAGAGAAACCCTCGGGCAGATCGAAAGAATACACTAGAACTGGTTTGATGAAAATGACCCGGAAATCCATGTACTGGTCGATGATAAACGTGCTGCTTTAACTGACTGGCAGAACAACCCTCAATCTAGGACTAAAGCTGATACCTTCCACAAGAAGAAAGAGGCGACCCAGGATGATCTTCGCAAACTAAAGAACGATTGGTTAAAAATAAAGCATGTGAAACGCAAAAAATTGCAGATCGGCACTAGATGCGCGATTTTTTCAATCCCACTAAAACATTTCATGGGCCAATCACTCCTGGCACAGCCCCCCCCCTCCTCCGCTCATCCGCCGGTAACTCCCTAATTAAAGTTGAAGAAGGCATCCGTCAGCGCTGGAAAGAGCACTACCATTCGCTGCTCAACCGAAACACCGACGTGGATTATCCTGACTACCCGTCAGGTCCTTCAGCATCCAGAGCTGACCCATCTCAGCTTCCTCCATCCCTGGATGAGGTAGCCAACTGCCATCAAACAGATGAAAAATAACAAAGCTTCGGGGCCTGGTGGAATCCCAGCCGAGGTGTATGAAGCAGGAGGACCTCTGCTTACCAGCCACCTCCACTCTTCCCTGAAGAATATATGGAAAAAGGAGGAAATTCCCCAAGCTCTTAAAGACCCCTTCATTGTCAATATTTATAAGAACAAGGAAGACCGGTCAGAGTATGAAAACTACTGCGGGATCTCGCTATTGTCCGTAGCTGGCAAGATTATCACCTGAATCCTCCTAAACAGACTTCTTCCTGAGGCGGAAAACTTCCTCCAAGAACCTCAGTGTGGCTTTATATCATCGCATGGCACCACTGACATGATCTTTGCTGCCCACCAAATACAGCAAAGGTGCAGAGAACTGCGTCGTGACCTGTACATGGCTTTTGATTGACCAAACCAAGGCCTTCGACTCGGTCAACAGGGAAGCCCTCTGGCGGACTCAGACAATTTAGCTGCCCACCAAAATTCATCGCCATTGTGAGGTGATTCCACGACGGCATGAACGGCAGTGTCCTGCACAATGGCACACAGTCCGAGTCTTCCCCACCCAAACTGGGGTGAAACAAGGATGTGTGCTGACGCCAACTCCCTTCCATTTTCATGGCTGCCTTCCTTACTCGTGTTAGTGCCAATTTAGACCGGCGGGGTGGACATAAGAGTACCGGATGAAGGATATTTTCAAAATAAGACGACTCCAGGCAGGAACAAATGTGTCGGCAGATTCCATTACTAAACTTCAGTATGCAGACGACCTCACACTTGTTGCTCACAATGAACGCGACCTACAGGAAATCCTGAACACTTATGGAGATGCGTATGCACACTTCCGCCTTGAGGTGAATGTGCATAAAACTCGGATTCTCTTTCAGCCTGCCCCTGGTTCAGCCACACCTTCACCATCCATCCAGCGTAATTGTACTACCCTCTCTAATGTTATCCACGGCGGACATCGATGAAGAGATTCAACATCGGATCAGATGTGCATCTCGAGCCTTTGACAGACTCCGTACCCGTGTCTTCAGCTGTAGGAAGCTGAAGTTATCGACAAAGATGCACATATATCGAGCAGTGGTCCTCCCCACCCTGCTATATGGCAGGGAGACATGGGTTACATACAGGAGGCACCTCAAGGCACTTGAAAACATTCACCAACATAGTCTTAAGTTCCATCCTCCGAGTTCGCTGGGAAGACAATAGAACAAATGCCAGTATTCTCGCTGACACTAACTGCAAACCATCGAGACTACCATTATCCATGAACAACTACGTTGGACTGGCCATGATACCCGCATGGACGACAGTAGACTGCCAAAGCAGCAACTTCAGTCACCTAACGAATAGTAAATGTAACGCTGGCGGGCAACTGAAAAGGTTAGGATAATCTTAAGACAACTGAAAAAGTGCCAAATCGACTCCCACACTTGGGAGACTATCACACCACACCGTAATGCTTGGAGGATCACCACACGAGCAGGTGTCAATATTTTCGAATTAGCCCGACTGCAAACCAAGGCAGAACAGCGCCGGCAAGACGCTGTCGTACCTTTCTTCTTGTGGAAGGTATTAGCTTTGGTCCGAGACTGAGGGTTGTTCTGCCTGTCAGTTAAGGCAGCACGTTTATCATTGATGAGTACATTGATTACCGGGTCATTTTCATCAAACCAGTCCAAGTGTATTCTTTCGATATGGCCGAGGGTCTCTCTCTGCAGGTTTTTGTCATGACAGTGTCGAGAATATCCCATTCGGTTTTGGGATTTCGGTTGTTCGTTGTTGGGTTGTTTATCAGCCCATGTTCGAGCTGCTATCTGAAAGCATGTGCTACTGCTGGTTCCTCCAGACGCCTAGTGTTAAAACCTCTTCTAGAGACTTGTTGCCTTCGCCGTTTTGGGGCGATGTGAAATGAGAGCTTGGCTCTGACAAGCCATTGATCAGAGTCGCAGTTGCCTGAGTCACGCATGGCACAGGTGATGAGGACATCTCGGCGATCTCTTTCTCTGACAATGATGTAGTCAAAGAGATACCAGTGTATGGAACGTGGGTTTTACCACGAACCCTTAAACTTGTCGGCCTGCCTAAACAAGGTATTGGTGATAGTGAGGTTGTGTGCAGCACACTTGCTGAAGAGGAGTAGGCCGTTGGGATTACACTTGCCTAGTCTATTTCTCCCAATGGTTCCCTGCTAAATGACAGTATCTCTGCCAACTCTGGCATTGAAGTCACCTAGGAGCACAACCTTGTCTTCTCTGGGGATAGAGGCTAGCACTCCGAGGTCTGCGTAAAAGGCCTCCTTGATGTCATCCTCTGCATCCAATGTTGGGGCGTATGCACTGATGAAAAAGGCATGATGTGAGTGATTCAGTGGGACTCTGAGTGTAATGAGGCGCACGTTGATCCCAATAGGCATTTCAGTTAGTCTGTGTAGGATGCGTTGGCTGATGGCAAAGCCAACTCCATAAATACGGTATCTCTCCGCAGCAGGCTTACCCTTCCAGAAGAAGGTATAGCCAGACCCCCATTCTGTGAGTCGACCCTCGTCTGGGAGCCGGGACTCATTAATGGCTGCTATGTCGATGTTATACCTAGCCAGCTTTTTTGCCACAAGGGCAGTTTTTCTTTCAGGTAGCTCATTTGTGCCAGTATCTAGAAGGGTCCTGACATTCCATGCAGCGACCATAAGAGGTTGTATAGTTTTGTAGGGGGTCTGTGATTTTTTTTTTTTTTTTTTTTGGGGGGGGGGGGCACTCCCCTACATCCTTGTGTAAGGTGAAGCGCAGAAGCGTTTACAGCGCCCAACAGGGAAGCATGCTAAGTTCATGCTTGCCTTTATGTCTCATGAGTCAAGGGCGTGTAGAAGCCTGAAGAGTCAGTGGTTTATGTCACCAAGTTATTGGAAGCTCCAACAACTTTCCCTGAATACGAATTCGCAACTTTCGATTTACACCAGGTACCTACTTTACTGCTAGGTGAACAGGGACTAATGGGGGCGAGGAAGTATGTCCAAACAACTTCCACCGGCCCGGGAATCGAACCCGTGACATCTCGGGTGGACATAAGAGTACCGGATGAAGGATGACCTTACTGGGTGCGTTTGCCCAGTCAGGTTATTTTTTTAGGCAGGCTATGTTTAGGACACACACACAAACTGTAAGGGGTTCTAATTGTTTCACACAAGTGTCTGGTATCACCTCACTCAAAAGTGATTAATATCCTCTTATTCCTCCTCCCTCTTACCAGGACGAGTTTACATGTAATTCGGGAAAATGTATCGAGTTGTCCAAACGCTGTGACGGTGTGTACGACTGTGGGGACGACGTGGGGTCCGACGAGGTGTGTTCTGTATTACTGACGCTACCTCGGTCCTACAACCACGACCAAGCACCAGACCCCATCACCTACCTCAACCTGACACTCACCCTCAACAGCCTACGCGAGATAGACGACTCCAGCAACCTCGTCAGCGCCTGGTTCACGGTATTGAGAATATAGTGGGGAGGAGCTCATGCTAACCTAACCTAACAGAAGCCTAACCTAACCTACCCTGAATCAAATTAATTTATATTTAATACCCCCTAAAGACCTCTGTATTACCCATTATAGTCCTCACATGGTCATATTTTAGCTAATTCGCCCGTTCCCTGCTCGACCACCATGCTAGGGTCCGCAGTACTTTTAGTCTGCCACTAGCTTCTTTCTTCAATAGAAGTATAGAATGATTTTTTTGCAATTCTTTCCCTTTAGGGGGCCTCAAAGATTCCTGATTACCTAAAAAAAATGAATTTTATGATTACTTATTAAGGATTAATTATAATTAGCCTAACCTACCTATAGGCTGAACTAATTTAACGTAACCAAATCTAACCTTAACCAAGCTTAACATAGTCATAGCCTACCCCTACCTTAATGTAAGCTAACTTAACCTAATTTACAAATACGAAATTCAATCTATCGGACACCTAACTTGACTCAATCTAAGTACAGTCCCCCCCTCTCTATCTCTCTCTATTCCACAGTTTAGCACCAGTTGGCACGACCATCGAGTCAAACTGAGTCAACTAAAGAACAAAACTAAAGATAAGATAGATTCCAAACATATGTGGTTCCCGAGATACTCCCTGGAGAACGCTCTCTTTCAAAACGACTTTGACTACCGCCAGGCGAAGAACGTTCGCCTCAACATCTACGCCCAGAGACTTAAGGAGGGACGTGTGGGTGTTAGTGATGGTTATGAAGGTAATGATGGTGGGGGTTGATAACGATAGGTAGTGAGAGTTAGTGAAAGTACGGACGGTCGTAGTGAAAGGAAGGTGATTGGAGAGACATGTCATTGGGCTTAGCTAATATTAACCAAAAAATATCATGTTCAACAGGTCTGGTGTACTCTGGCCAAGGGGACGCCAAGATCCTGAAGGTGGAGGACTTCATGGTGTCTTACATGTGTGACTTTAACCTGGCTCTCTACCCCTTTGACATCCATCAGTGCTTCTTCAACTTCTCCATCATCAACCACGGCTCCTTCATCTCAGTCTTTCTGGAGGAGGTATGGTCATGGTTTGGTTAGGTCAGAAATCCTACATTAGGTTAGGAAGGCTATGTTGGTATACGAAAGATTTGGTGAGATAATCTTACATCAGGTCAAGTTAGTTTTGATTAGAGTAGGTTAAACTAGGTTTGGTTAGGTCCGCATTATAGCCAGTCTCTGTCACCGTCACAGGCCATCAAGGTAGAGTCGAGTGAGTTTTCCACTACGGGGCTGTTTCATGTGTCAGAGCTGAGGATGTCCAGGACGGGGTCGGCCACCTCCACCACAGTCTCCCTCAAGGTGAGTGACGTCACGCTACTCACAACTACGGGGTTTCATTTGTTACTGAACCTCAGAACAGTGACGTTCTCTGACCACTGTGAATGAACCTTGTGTAAGATCCATTATCCCCTTTAATGCAACCATGTAACCCCTTGAATACAATCACTTAATATCATCGACCATAAATGGTTAAATCATCGTTTACAGGTGATTTCCTCATTGGTAAGTGTACTGTATGTGATACTCTGCAACTTAATACCAGTACACTTCGTGTCCAGGGAGAGTATCCACTTTTTTTTTTAAATTTGACACAATGGTAAAAAAAAAAAAAATACATCCATGGTTTATATAATTTAGCGGGTGCTACATAATTGCTAATTTTTGTGATCATTGTTATTATTTTCTCATCAAATTATCATTATCTACTTCATCATCCTATGCTGACAGATTAAGCTGACACGTAGATTTGGGGGAACGCTGCTGACCGCCTTCCTGCCCTGCGCTATCCTCGGCATGATAGGAGACTTTACCCATAAATTTGAGGAAAACAACTTCACGTAGGTACCACCAAGGGGTCTGGGGTAGATTGAGCTCATCTGATCAATATCGTAAATTAGTTCTTTTGTCGTGTTTGGTGTATACTTGACTATTCGGTGGTGATAATTATTTCTGGGAATGATGGTGAGAGATCCTTGTGTGTGTGTGTGTGTTGCAGGGACCGCATTATGGTGGCCATTACTTCCCTGATCGTCATTGCCTCTCTCTTCGCCGCCATCAGCGCCACCAACACGACCACAGCCGGCCTGAAATCCATTGACGTGTTCTTCTTCTACTACATCGTTCGCCTCTTTATGATCTTTATCATTCACGTCTATCAAGCCTCAAGACTCCGGCAACAGAAGAAGGAAAGGCAGGAACAGCAGATGGGTCAGGTCGGCAATACTGGGGTAACAAAATTTCATCTTCTCAACACCAAGCTCGACTCCAAAGGCTATATTGATAGTGTTGACGCCATTGATGATCTCCCGGTACCTGTCTCGCCAGTCTACATACCTGTCAAGCCCCACAACGCAGAGGGCCAACCTCGGCATCAGGCCTGGACGCCGATCCTGACGAAGGTACCCGAAACACGAAAGACAAGTTGCTGTACCTCGATCATGATCCGCGGGGCATTCGTGATAGGAATCCTGCTGGATGTGAGCTTCATCTTCCTCTTCGTTGCCTTTAACTTGATGCAACGACTAAGTTACTAATAATTTCGATAAAGAGGATTAAATTTATACCAAGGGGGCGAGTGATAGTGTGTTGGTGTACTGCGTAGACTGTAGAGGATCTATAGGGCAATAAGTTATGTAGAGTCTACATAACCTACTGCCCTAAAGGTTACAAACATCATTGAAATATAATATATTTTTGAGAACACAGATGGTAGTAAGACGTCCAGGAGATACAGGCTGATAGTACAGTAAGAAGTAGTGGATACAAGGCAGCATCTGGATCGCCTCTGGTTGAGTGCTGTTAACTGAACATTGATTTAGGCAGCGTTTTCATAGTAGAAATACCAATTGTTATTTAGATTAACCTTGAACAATTCGTGATTCAAACTCTTGTACAAATATTTATGGGTGTCGCAGTATACGTTAAGATTTCATTAACGACGAGACCCTAACACTTAATAGTGCAAAAGACCACACAGCCACCACTAAGTTTACTAGATGACAGTGAAGTTAGAAAATGTCGTCAATAGAATAAATAAACACACTTGTCATCAGCTTAGCTTTTATCTCCGTTTAGTCCATAGATTCATCCTTACTATCATCCACGTAACAGTAGTAGTGGAGGAACACACACACACACATATACACACACACACACACACACACACACACACACACACACACACACACACACACAATGATGATAAACACGACTGATACTTCTCACTTATTCTAAAGTGTGAGTGACTTTGACACTAACTGATTATGAACACGACAACTTCCCCAAACACCAGGGAGTATATAAAGCTCGTACGCACCTTTAAACTGTATTAACTTTGTTTACGCATAACAAGCAATCTGAAAATTCCATATAAAACATTAATTTTAGTATAATTTTATCCAACTTAATCAAAACATTAAAGGTTTTCTTTATAACCAGAATATTTCATCTGTGTGTTTTGGGGATGGAAGAGATCACATAATTTCTCCAAGCATTTATATATAATCAATAGCACTTAGGAGCACCACACTCGCCTAGTAAGTGTTTTACATGATAAACTATATAATTTATCTAGTGAATTTACACTGTCAACATGTATGTCTCTTTTTCTTAGCCACTTGAAAGGATATATATATATATATATATATATATATATATATATATATATATATATATCTCACAAATTCTTTATTTCCTTCGTCTATATTGAGTCTCAGGAACCGGTTGAGCTGTTGTTGTGTATCGTAGAGTAAACATTGCACCATGTATTTCTGTGTACAATATTTTACAATACCTGAACAATATAACATGTATTTCTTGTTGTCTTACAATTAGTAATTCAAGTTAAATATTTCAATACTGAAGACGAGTGTTGTTTGAGGTGTTCCCCGGACCACGGAGGATCTTACTGACAGAAATAATATGCCTTATTAATGATGTCACAAGGGAGTGTAGTAATCGCTGACGTCTTGTTGTTGTGAAGTCAAATAAATCAATTCACCGATTCTTATTTTTTTCCCTAATCATCAAATCGGTACCTAATTTAATCTCTAAGTGTTTGTATCTCAAGTGTTCATATATCTGTATAAATATGGACACCATAAACACGTAGGGATATATTAAGTTAAATGAGGTGAGGTGAGATGAGGTTAGGTTAGGTTCTGGGTAAATTAGAATAAGTTAATGTTAGGTTCCGTTACATGTCGAAGGTTTATTGAGTTCCTTAACAAGTTCATATACACTGAGTGTATCTTCCTACCAGTCACTAATTGTCATAAGTGTCGCCACTCACACAGTCACTCACCCACTAGCAGGACCAGTCCAGATATGCCAGTTCCCACCACACAGTCAGTCACCCACTAACAGGACCAGTCCAGGTATGCCAGTCCCCACCACAGTCAGTCACCCACTAACAGGACCAGTCCAGGTATGCAGTTACCACACAGTCAGTCACCCACTAACAGGACCAGTCCAGGTATGCCAGTCCCCACCACACAGTCAGTCACCCACTAACAGGACCAGTCCAGGTATGCCAGTTCCCACCACACAGTCAGTCACCCACTAACAGGACCAGTCCAAGTATGCCAGTTCCCACAACACAGTCAGTCACCCACTAACAGGACCAGTCCAGGTATGCCAGTTCCCCCCACACAGTCAGTCACCCACTAACAGGACCAGTCCAGGTATGCCAGTTCCCACCACACAGTCAGTCACCCACTAACAGGACCAGTCCAGGTATGCCAGTTACCCCCACACACTAACCTCCTTCGTCAATATTAAGAGAGCCAGACTCGAAATAAATTAAGACTGCTATCATCACCTGTTCCTGTCTACTCCTTTATTCACTTCCTCACTTCACAACCTTCTAATTACGATTAATAATATCACCTGAGCACTAATGAGACTTTCATAATTGATGAGTCTCACTGACTCTATTAATGAAGGGAGTTAAACCAGGTGATTAGGGATTCTCATCTGCCTTAACTACACCACCGACATTTATTAATGGCTAAAGTCACGGGTGAGTAATATTTTATGGCTCCGTCTACAGTTGTCTTGCTGTCTCACCTGTTGACATTTACAGAGTACATTAATTGATAAAAGTAACTCTGAGAATAATTACTGCTGCCTGCAGCTCTGTGGTCTGGATGTGGTCATTATTATTATTAGTAGTAGTAGTAGAAGTAGTAGTTGTAGTTGTAGGGGTAGTAGTAGCTACATAATTAAAATAATATAATTATTACTGTATTATCATTAGTAGTAGTAGTAGTAGTAGTAGTAGTAGTAGAGTAGTGGGAGTACTAGTAGCAGTAGTAACATTATTCAAAATGTTATATGATTATTATCATCATTATTATTATTATTATTATTATTATTATTATTGTTGTTGTTGTTTATTTTGTTTGTTTGTTGTTGTTGTTGTTGTTGTTAATAATAGTAGTTGTAATGGTTGTAATCTAAATATGTTATCGAGAATAGCATTATGCGATACGAACCTAACCTCCTAACTTAACCTAACCTAAATTATCCTATCCTATCTTAACCTAATCTATATTAACTAACTCTATCCTAACTTTAACTTAAGTGGTGTTGGCAGCAGATATTTAACTTCGAGTCCAGCACTTAAATGATCTGTTAGTACAAACATTAACTTATGAAAAATTAATACAACAAACTGAGTATAAATAAATTATTACGTCAAGAAAATACTGAAACAAAACTTAATATAACTCGTATCTTTATGATTACTGAATAAACTTGATATCTGTAGCGGTAATTCAAGTTTAATTTAGATAGCGGATGACGGGGCTGGTAGTGGCTGACGTGGGTGGTACACTCTGACGGGGGTGGTGGAGGCTGACGGGGGTGGTGGTGGCTGACGTGAGTGGTACACTCTGACGGGGGTGGTGGTGGCTGACGGGGAGTGGTGGTGGCGGCGCGGTGACGGGGAAGGTGGTGGCGGCTGACGAAGAGTGGTGGTGGCGGCTGACGAGGGGTGGTGGAGGCTGACGAAAGGGATGATGGTGGTGGTTGACGGGGATGGTGGTGGTGGCTGACGGGGGTGGTGGCGGCGGCGGCTGACGGGGGTGGTGGCGGCGGCGGCTGACGGGGGTGGTGGTGGTGGCTGACGGGGATGATGGTGGTGGTTGACGGGGATGATGGTGGTGGTGGCTGACGGGGTGGTACACGATTGACGGGGGTGGTGGTGGCTGACGGGGGTGGTACACGCTGACGGGGTGGTACACGCTGACGGGGGTTGGTGAGGAGATGACGGGGTTGTGGTGACTGACGGCAGTGGTGGATTTACTGGCTGGGTAGAGAAGGCCCCGACAGAGGTGGTTTTGGCTGACGGGGGAGGTGGTGGCTGACAGGGGAGGAGGTGGCTGACGGTTGGCGGCTGCCAGTGGTGGAGAATGACGGGGTGATGGTGGTGGCGGCCGACGGAAGTGATGGTGGTGGTTTTGGCTGACAGCGTGGTGGTGGCTGACGGGGTGGTGGTGGCTGGGGGAGGTGGTGGTGGCTGACGGGGGTAGTGGTGGCTGACGGGGGTGGTGGTGGCTGACGGGGGTGGTGGTGGCTGACAGGGGTGGTGTTGGCTGACGGGGATGTACCCCACAAAACACTTTGATAATATTTCTTAAGAATATCAATCTGTGTGAGGCTGAGACACCGGCAACACGACAGGTCCGTTCTCCAAGATAAGGTTACCGTATAGGTGGCACAAGGCGCATGTCCGGCTCTCCCTCACGGTGGTGTAATGAACGCCTCCAGTGTGTGTAAATAGAGTGTGACGCATTGCCTGGGTCTTAGTGGATGTGTAGCAGTGAAGTGGTGAGCTTCCCACACTCCAGCTGCTGTAGGTGAGTGGTGGTGAATGTAGTAGTAGTAGAAACAGTGGTAGTGAATGTAGCAGTACTGGTGGTTGTGGTGGTGGTTGTTTTTGTATCAATGAGCAAAAATTATGATAAACAAAGCTTTAATTCTTATGGTGATTGTGCACTATAAGTGAATCCTCATATATTATTATTATTATTATTATTATTCCTGAATTTGTAGCTTGTGTTACCAAGTTCAAGGAGTCACCAGACTGCTACCAAGGTAGATCAGAGTGACCACAGTGTTACCAGATAGGAGAGATGGCTCAGCCCCTGAGGAAAGTACTTGAGGACCCGGACGTGGTGCGTGGACTCCAGGAGAACCCCGGCACCTACAGGTAACGGGGTGGACCAGGGGTGTAAACCAACGTCCCTCGAGATGGAAGGTGAACGCTGTATCCACTCACCCACTGCGCACCGTCTATAATAATCCTATTACCATTATCATTTATATCATAGCATTTGTATCATTCTTATGACATGCTGCACAGATTACCATTATTATGATTAGTTATGATAAAAGATTTATGCTACGCTACATAGGTTATCATTGTCAATATCATGGTCATCCAATCAATTTTTATCATTTTAATCGTTATTACGTCATACTCCACAGATTTAAGAATGGAGCCTTCTTGGAGGTGTCAGCGGTACACTGGCCTCCCCATATAGTGGTGGAGGAGGCTGTGGGCGGAGGGGGAGAGCTCACTGTGGGCGGACCCATGGGAGATGTCCTCACTACCCTCGCCGACTCCCTTAACTTTACGTAAGTTATACTATTTTAACGAAATTCATTCATGTCATGCTCAGTATAACATAGGTCTCTCTCTCTCTCTCTCTCTCTCTCTCTTAATAGAAACATACACAAGATGATAATAATGGTCATCTACTCACAGGTACAAGATTGTACAACCAGGAGACCGGGCATGGGGTGCCAAGCTGCCCAATGGTACTTGGTCTGGTATGGTCGGGCAGGTGAGCAGACAGGTAAGTGTTGGTGGGAGTACTTCCCAAGCTACACAAATGAACTTGAAATTCGCAATATCTGTATTTATGAATGCACTTTCATTATTTTTCCTTCACTTAAGAAAAACTGGACACTGAGACACAAACAACAATAACATTGTCTTCCCCCACAGGAGGTGGACATCGCTCTGGGACCTTTTGGAATCTCCGAAGCCAGATTTAAGGTTGTCGATTATACTCGCGCGTTTTACTACGACGACCGTAGTATACTGGCCAGGAAGGGTCTGCCTGAGGTGGACCCGTGGGGGTTCCTGTACCCCTTCACGCCGCTGGTGT